AGTAAAAAGTCGATATCTCAGCTAAATCTCAACTTGCGCACATATCATCTTAGGCTTTTTCTAGTCTATATGTCCTCTACATATGGGCAGAATTTCAGCTCAAAAGGTTTTTGACACCTCGGGTGGTTCCGTCGTGAGATAAATACTTCAATAGCAAATATTATTTGCATTTGAAAATCGAAATCATTTTGATAATATTTAATAATTGCTATTTTACTCAATAAAATATCAGCTTTTGTGTTCGCAAAATGTTCATCCCAAGCTTTTAAATAACTTCGAACAATCATTATAACGCGATGTTTATTGTTTTTGTATTGCATCTACAATGAGATTTTATTTATATGTGTAAGATTCAATGATTTGTCATACTTGAATATATTCGTGAATCGTTGTAGTATTTAGATCAGATTGCGGTTCTTTGAATAATTGAACTAATTTTTTATATGGCTTTTTAATACGAATATTTTTAATAGTTTTTGTCGATGACACTTTAGATGAATTCGATGTTGAAACCGAATGACTATCGAGTTTACTAGCTGAAGATAGACAGAGATCAGTTGTGTATTATCATAAAATGTCTAATAGGTCCAAGAATATCTCTAATGTATATAGAATAACATACTTGTGTGTTCAATTGGATATTCATGAAGTTTAAGAAATGGTTCTGCCCATGAAATTTCATTCGTAGAATTATTATCTGAATACCAATCGATCATTTCTGATATTGAAATACATTGATGATCGAGAAACAATTGTAATAACATTGTCATCATTTCAACTACAAATATAAAATATGAAAAATGAATATAATGTATTATCATTACTTTCTGTTGAATCTTTATTCTTCAAAGTATTAAAGAAGTATTTTAAAGCAGTCAATACTTTTCTTTCAGAATCTTTTCCGTTTACATATTGTTTTATAGTTAATATATGTTTATCCAAAATTAATTGTTTATGTTTGCCTCGATTTGTTTTGTGCCAAGTCTGAAGGTATGAAAATACTAATGTAATAAGACCTTGATTTTCCATCTTATCTTCACCTTCCAACATCGACTGAAAAATAACGACAAAATCTATGTGAGTGAGGCTCATTTTTTATTTACCCGAACAAAATCATTAATCTTGCCAACGCTATCTGGACCAACATTTCGAAAAAATGTAAAATAGAGCATACGTGGTTTCCATGCTTTTATTTTTTCTTTTTTTGGATACTTTGTTGAGGTAGATTTCGTTTCATCTAGAAGTACGAAAAGATATAAGCTCACGACAATGCAAAATTCACTTCATGAGCTTTTCTAATTTCTTTATTGTATAATAAAATACATACCTTTACTATTAGTATGAAGATTTTGAATATTATTCAACCTAAATAAGTTAATTAGTTAGGTTAAATTTATAATAACTTACTCTGGAGAATTCCATATAAGAACATCACTGTCTTTTCTGATATTTTCAATAGCTAATTGAATAGCATCGAGTAATTGTGGACTGATACTTTTTTGTGTATACATTTGTTCTAATGGTTGTTGAACGTCTATTTTTAAACGTTGATTAAAGTTTAATTCTTGTTGTTCAAGTATTTTTTGACGAGTTCGTATAGAATTTATCATTTTATTGTATTCGTCGTCAATTTCAGCTAATTTTTGGATACGCCAAACAGCACATTTCTTTTCATCAGCTTTACGTTCTTCAACTATCGTGTTTGAAGCATTCACCAAACTAGTACTAATTTGATTAGCTTCATTCTTAAGTTGATCAAGTTGATTTAAAGCAATATTCTGATGATCATTAATATGATGGATACATAAACGATGCATACAATGAAGACATACAGCTAATGCAAACTGTTGACATAAATTTTCCTCACAACCACTCATTTTGTTATTGTTCTGCGTTCTTCTTCGATAAAGCACATGTAAATAAACGAGAAGAATGGAAAAGATTATATATTTTACCAAACTATATGATACTAAATGCCAATTAAAATAGAAAACTGATATATGATTTTATGAAAGTATCGAAAGATCAAAATGTAATATAAAATGTTAAAAATAAGATACTCTGTTGAGTTGTGCTTTTATTTTTGGTATAAAATCAATCTCATACAACAGATGGCGTTGTGTTATTCTAATGATGTGCCACTCTTGACTTTGAGATCATTGTTTCTTCCTTTATTCTACAAGAAAAACACACTGCGATTATTTATGAATGTATAATTATCAGTACTTTTGCCTTAAAAAACACACGTCAGAGAAAAAGTATTAATATTTATTTTCTAACAAATGAAAAATACAATAATTCTCCTGGAAGTTTTTAATAGCATATTTTCCATTTATTGAATTGAAAATTCTTCCGAAAATCAGCTCCGTTTCCTTCATTTTTAGTTAAAGTAGTGAGAATATATCAATCAAACAACATGCTATCCTATCTTTTGCTCAAGGTTGACAACACACGACAAAGTAATATGTGGTTTTATTAATTCACATTATGCGAAATAAATACAAACTTAATTTTCATAGATTTAACTGATGCGAGAATGTTAACTTTTACTCTAATACTTCCCGTCATCGTCATTGCAGGATTAATAATCTAGCTGATTTGCTTCAGTCATTCCTTTATACTTTGTATAGTAACTAATGATACTTTTTGCTGAAAATCGTAAAAAAAAGTACTTAAAAGTGTTCACTTTAGTACACTTTTTTTATATGGGTTAAGTATCGCAGAAAATGTGTTTGAGGAGAGTCATAAAATATCAATCAGTACGTTCGCACAAACTTTACTGGTGTTGTAAACAGTTCTGAAAAGTGCTGTTTTGCTGTATAAATATTTACCATACTCGGAAGTACTTCGAAAACTACTAAAAGTATTAAAAGCTCTTGAAAATACCTTTTGTCTATACGTACATCATTACATGAAAATGTCAAATTATCACAAAGTACTACGAAAAGTTTAATATTTAATATACAATACTTTTCAAAAGTAAATTATATTCTAAAATACTTCTCAAATCACAGAAACACTAGAAATTATTTTGAAAAAATAGTAAAACTAAAAAAGTTTATTTTAAAACGAAGAATTGTATTGATAAGTACTTCCAGAAGTAAATACTATTAAAATATAATTTAGAAAATCTTAATAAATAGTTCTGAAAATTAGATAGTATTCAAATACAGTTTAGAAAGTACAAAAATGACTTATAAGTACTTTAAAGTAAGTACTAAAGTGACAAAAGTATTTTAAAAAATTACTTTTAGAAGTAAATTGATTAGATAAAAGTACTTTTAAGAAAGAAAGTATTTGGAAGTACCTTAGGAAGCTTAGAATGGTGTTAAATTTCACTTAATAAACTACGAAATAGTAAAAAAAGTTCAATAATCGTAGTTTTTTTAATATGAATAGTACTTATAAGTTATTTTTAGACACCTTTCTATCACGTGAATACGTGAACAGCATTTTCTTCATTACTGCAATCAGGAAAATAGAAACATCAACAGTAATACAACTAACACTTTTTTGCTTGTGTCGTTAATAATTTATAAACGTCCGATTCATTCAACTTGAACAGGCGAACGTTTTTGAGGACAATGTGGTGAAATTACATTTACAAGAGTAATGGTTGCCATTGATAATATTCTTTTTCTAACAACCATCATATAGCAACAAAATGAGTAACAAGTGATTCTCTTTACTTAATTGTAAAAAAATGTATTCTACTTATTTCCGAGTGGCATTAGCATTCGAAAGTTCTAGCCAA